CACAGGCCGGGCTGGGGTACCCCCCCTCCCCCCACCCCGAGTGCACAAATTTTTGTGCACCGGGCCTCTAGTAAAAGTATAAAAGGAAGCCCACCCTAGGCACTTACATGATTTTTCTTTTTTCTTTTCTTCATATCTTCAAGTAGCTGCCAAATTTTGGATCTTCTTTCTTTTGTAAAAAATATATTTTTATTGATTTCAGAGAAGAAGGGAGGGAAGAGAGATATAAACATCAATGATAAGAGAATCATTGATCAGCTGCCTTCTGCACATCCCACACTGGGGATTGAGCCCACAACACGGGCATACGCCCTGACCGGGAATCAAACCATGTCCTCCTGGTTCATAGGTTGACACTCAACCACTGAGCCACATGGCTGGGCAGTTCTTTTTTTATAACATCTACAGAGTCTTACTCTTCCTTTGCTTTTCTTTCCTTCCCTTTGCAGGATATACTTGAGTACATTTTGAGACAGAAACTTGGTAACTGATTCCTGGAAATACCCTGACTCATATCCATATAAAAGAGTAAATGTACAAAATTGATAACAATTATTGACTAATCTTCCTTTTTTTCAAGTGTGGTCCCTTAGTCCATGTACATGACCAGGCTAATCAAACCTGGGTGATTTATTTAATCATTCTGTGGACCATTTGTTGTTTTCTTCTCCAAACATTCAGCAAATACAAAGATATGAGTCGTTTCTTGTCTTAAACATGCTTTTAACCAGTAGTATTTTTAACATAGCCCTTATTTCACTTTCAGAGGTTGTTACTGCCAATACTGCTTACGTATTATAGGACTAATCCACCCACATCCTATGAACAAATGACCAAGGGTTTCCAAGGGGATGATGGAAGGAACTGAAAAAGAAAATCAATGTATCTTGTGTACCTTTTATGTATCATGCATTATGGTAGAAACGTTCTTATTTCACACCTATTAGAATGGAAACTATGTGGACAGGGGTTTTGTTTTGTTCGCTGCTGTATTTTAGGTATTTGAGATAGTGCCGGACACAAAGTAGGCTCTGGATGAAAGAATGGATAGATGGATATTGTATCTTGTTTAAAATCTTGACAGTAACCTTTGTGATGTTATAAATGGCTTAAGTAATTTGCTTTCTTTCTCATAGCTAATAGTAATAATTTACTGGTGGGATTCAAATCCACACCTATATGACTCCACATTTATGCTTTTTATTAAATTGGGCTTAATTAAAAGCTCTTTCCTGTTTAGAATTGGTTTTCACATGGTAATCATACACACACACACAAAAAAAAACACACAGGAAAATGTCAAATGTGCCCCCCAAAAAGAAAGTTTCCTTACATAATTTTAAATACTTTCATTTATTAGTTTTAGTCTTGCACAGAACTTAACACTTATTTAAAAATTTCTTTTAGCACAATCTACCCTATTGTCTTCTTGTGAGTTTTAGGAGAGTTGCCAAAGGGTGTGGTTCACAGTGGTTAGATTTTCAGAAATCACTCATGTTGTTTACTTCAGCTTTCATTGTAATTAAACAATGACCTGCTTTAGATATTATCATTTGACAAAGCAGCATACAAAATACTATATCTGCATCTGATAAAATTCAGAATTCAAAAAATATCTATCACTTTATTCCAGAAAGTCCTGGTATAACTCATTCCAAGATCTTAACGCAGCTTAAATAAGCTCAAAGCTATGGATACATGCAAATTTACTCCTCTTGTATTTAATATGATGAACAGATCCTATTTATTACCTGTTCCCCTATATGAAGTCCTATTCAAGATTCCATTCCTAGTTTAGTTTTTATTTTTTTTCAATTACACACAGAAATCTCACTTTTGAAGGAATTGCATTGGTATCCTATGAGCAATGGGCTTGGCAAAGCAGATCTGTATCTGAGTCAGAGCCTGGCCAATCCAAAAGCTGTGAGAACTTAGCAAGTCATGCAATTTCTGTGAATCTAAGTTGATCCATATGTAAAATGTGTTAACTCTCCCTTGGGGCTGTTGTGAGCATTAGGTGAGAGAATGTATATGATAGAACTGCCTTATATATTGTAAAACATTAAACAAATGCCTTTTATTAGTAATAGTATAATAGTTAACATTTGGATTCACGGCAACTTTCTTGGTGAGCTGTTCTCAAGCCTTATGAATGGTATATTTTTACACTTTCTCTATAATCAACAATAATCAGCTCCCTTCTTTCCCTTTTTCATCTTTCTTCTTCTGAAAACAGATTTCAGAGGGATGTCAAGCAAATTAGGTACATTATGATTAACAAACAGATATGAACAGTTTGGATAATGAAAAATGAATTCTAAATAAATGCTAAGAGTTCATATGGATAATACCAAAACTGAGTATAAATTTTGGATTTTAGAACTTGATGTTAATAGTATGATAACTGCTGTGTGTTAGAATGATATAGACTCTATATTATAGAGGCACTAAGAGTTTCTGCTCAGGATTCTGATTCAGCTAAGAAAAATAAATCTACTCATGTTCCTTTGACTGTGCCTTCACACGTTCAGTTAATATATAATGAACACTTATGATGTGTCATACACTGTGCAAGGTACTGAGTGAGCAGTGGGGAACCAAGTGGACATGAATTGACCTCAAGTCAATTGGGGTGAGGAATACAGATATGAATAAAACATATGGTAATGCTTAAAATATATATTCTTATGAATTGTAATACATAATTTGAAGGAGAAGAACTGGATTGTGTGAAAGGGGGCAAATTATTTTAATTTGTGGAGAAGGTCAGAAACAGGCTCTCCGAGGAACTATTTGGTGTATTTTAAACATTTATAACTAGCTAAAAAGGGTTCATTTGCTCTATTGTTCACTTATTAATCTATTTATTCATTTAACTAATACTTGGGGATCTTCCCTATAGGCATAGAAGAAAAAAAATAATATTAAAGGGATTGGGGGATGGGTGAAAAAAAGAAGGGATTAGGATGTTTAAATTGCCAGTTATAAAAACAGTCACAGAGATATAAAGTACAGCATAGGAAATATATCAATGATATTGTAATAACCATGTATGATGTCAGATGAGTACTATAGTTATCAGGGTGATCACCTTTAAGTTACACAAATGTCTAATCACCATGTTGTATATCTGAAACTAATACTATTTATGTCAACTGTAATTAAAAAGTTAAAAAAATAAAATAAATAAATATAAGAAATAATAGCTAACTTTTAGAAAGTAGTACATATCATACATTGTTGTAAGAACTTGATGTACTTGAACTTCTTTCATTCTTGTAAATTTCTATGAGAAAGGAAATATTATCTTACCCATTTTGCAGATGAAGAAACTGTGGAACAATAAAGTAAATGACTTAGGTCAACAGTTTGTGAATGGCAATGAAAGGATTCCACTCCACAGTCTGACTCTACATCACACACCTCTAGGTATTACCTTACTATCTTCACTGAGCTCAACAACAAAGAAACAAGAATATGGGGAAATAACAACAACAAAAAGAGCAAGGCAATGTTCTCAGTCTTAAAATAAAGGTATGCAGATGGAGTTGTGGGGACAAAGGAGAAAACCTACCTCTGACTAGGTAACAGGGCATGCTTCTCAGGGAAGTATTTGACGTAAGTCTTGAAGTGTGAGAAGAGCTAGCCTAAAAATCTATTTGCTATTCTAGGATGAATAAAATAATACATTCTTTGAGATCTGGGAGCTGAAAAGGTGAAAGAAGGGGGGGAAATCTGCAGGCCTAGAACTATAAAAATAGATGGCTGCTTTAGGGGAACTGTATTGAGTATGGCTTTCATTTTTAGGAAGAGGTTAGAATTCAGGCTGGAGAGATAGATCAGGGACAGACCACAAAAGGCCTTCTGATACAGGCTAAGAAGTTTGTGCTGTACCTCGAATGCCATGTAAAGGAGCTGTTCTAAACATAAAGTTCTTCAAAATGAGTTTTAGAATGATCACACCAGCAGCAGCAGTGGGGATATATTGCAACGGGTGGGGTCACAGGTTGGGAGAAGGCTGTGGTAATAATTGAATTGCAAAGAATAAGAGCCCAAAATAAGGCTGTGGAAATTAAGAGGAAGATATGAATTTAAAACCAATGTAAAGGATTTGGGGATCCACTTGGATGTGAGTTTTGAATGAGAAAACTAGTTTAGGATAGTTTTCCATATTTCTCACCAGAGATACTGAGTGTATAATAATACCAACTACCGTATTATAGAAATAAAGGACTAAGATAGATATGAAAGCAAGGATGATGCATTTAAATCTGAGCACAAGGAGTTTGAGATATTTAGGAGATAGCAGATATCTGGTAGGCAGTTGAATATGATCATGAGTCACTAAATACAGAGATACATTTTGAAAATGTGGCATTAAGGAGATGCTGTCATTGTGCAAACATCATAAAGTGCACATACATACCTTAATGGTACAGCCAGGGCCCACCTAGGCTGCATATTATAGCCTTTTGCTCCTGGGCTAAAAACCTATATAGTATGTTACTGTTCTGAATACCGTAGGCAATTGTAACACAATGATAATTATTTGTGTATGTAGACATAGAAAAGGTACAGTCAAAATACAGTATAAAAGATAAAAAATGATATACCTGTATAGGCCACAAGGAGGAGGAGGAGGAGGAGGAGGAGGAG